GACAATCATGCAATAAAAATACTAATATATTAAAAATACAGCGACATATCATTATCATTTAAAGTATACGACCCTACACTAAGTTAAATTTATAACGGTGTTTACAATTAACTGTAAGTTCATATCTTTGATTTAAGAGATCAGCCTTTGTTTTTAAATCTAATAATTTCAAATTTTTCATTAAGGCATAGGTAACATGGGGTATATAGGGAGTTACATGTCCGAGCTTTCTTAATCAAACTCCATTTAACCGTAGGTGTTTTGTTCTTATTTTTAGATTCCAAAAATACTTGGATAATGAAGTCATGTACCTATATTCACTGTGATTAAAGGATTGCATATGCCCCCGCCAGCGTTCCTTGAATGTTTTCATGGTAGAACCAATGTAAAACTTCTTTATATTTGATTTTCAATTGTTGAAATATTACTAAGATAGACATTTAGACGTAATCCCACAGTTATTTTGTAGTGGACAATTATTCGGATTCATTACATTTACATAAGTTGTTATTTGTATTCTTATATTTAGTATTGCAGTTAGTAACCTGTTTTTAGTAAAGGCCTTTTGAATTTCTATACTTGTTAAAAACTATGTTGTTATGTTTTTAATTATCATCTCCAGGTTATCAGCACAACTATAGCTTAATTTGTGTGTATTAGGATTAAATATTTTACTGTGTGTATATCTAATTATGTCTGGGTGCTTATGTATTATAATCTGATTGTGTTTTTGTTGTCTTGACGCGTGAGTTTAAGACCACATCCACAAACTTTAAAATAAAACAAAAATGAAAAAAGGGGAAAAGGAAAAAAATATATACATGTATTATCAAATGACCGGATATATATTGTGGCGTCTTGTCGAACATAATTTCAATGAAGAAATGAATTGAATAAACATATATATTTTTTCTTTTCTAAATAATTTTGTAGTTTTTAAACTTAATAGGGATTAAATTCGGATTTTAAAATTACCAATTTTTAATTTTAATATTAAATTTTATCATATGATTTTATAATTATTAGTTAGTATAAATTATTTTTAATATTACACGTATTTAAAGATCTGAATAGCTATTATAGCAGGATTTCGTTGTCAAGCTTTTGAATCTTTCTATACTTCGTTTTTGATTGGTTATTCTAGCTTTTGTAACAATGCTCCCCCTAGTGTAGGATCGTTAATTAATCTGAAACTTTTTAAAACCATTTATTTTATTTTCAACATCATCACTTGAGAAGACACAGAATGTAATATTTGAAAACAAAATGGCTATTTTTGTAGTGATCTTATAACATACTTATGTTATAATTTTTTATAAAAAATAATTATATATAATTATATATATATAGATGACTATTACTGCTAATAATGCTAGAGTCTTCGGTAAAGAGAATTGACTTCTCTCTGTCAATGGCTATTTATCTAAAAATAAATGCGCTTAAATTCTTTGCGCCAAAGGCTTTGAGGTAGAATATCTACCTGACGCAATTTAGCCAGGTTACGATCCTAACAAGAGGCAACTGGACGTCTAGTCACATTGATACAGCGAATCAGGCTGTCTGTGGTTGACAATATATATATTCTGTTACCTATATATATATATATATATATATATATATATATATATATATATATATATGCATATTCCATATTTTTTATATATATATATATATATACATATATATATATGTTTATACGTATTCTACTTTTTTATATATTCTATTTTATATTTATATATTCCAATATATATATATATATATATATATATATATATATATATATATAGTGGGTAGCAAAACTATTTAAACACATTGGTTTTTTCTTACATATCTCAAAAAAATAACAGATCAATTTCAACGAAACTTATGGGAAATATTTAAACGAACATTGTCGATCAAAACATAGAAGGAAAATTTAAAACCACTGTTTTGAGAAACATTTCTTAACAATAAATAAAATAACCCAAATGCAAAAGTATTTAACACACTTTACTAATATTTAGTACAGTAGCCTCTGTTCTGCTTCACAGCCTCCAGTCGTTTCCCGTAGTTTTCAACTAGTTTCTTGCAGGTACTTGTTGCTATTTTGGCCCATTCTTCTTCACAAATTTTCTTCAATTTGTTTAAATTCGATGGATTTCTTTTATGAACTCGTAACTTCAATAGTTTTCACAAATTTTCGATTGGATTTAAGTCCGGGGATGGCTTGGCCATTCCAGGACATTAATGTCATTATCATTAAACCAATTCTTAGTTGTTTTAGCAGTATGCTTCTGGTCATTGTCTTGCTGAAATACAAAATCACGATCATGTCCCAAAGATGTGGCACAGTTCAAGAGTTGAGTTGACAAAATTTGAGTGTATTTTGCAGCATTCATTGTTCCTTCGATGATTTTCATTTTTCCTACTCCATTTGAGGAAAGACCCAACATCATAATATTTCCACCCCCATGTTTGACTGTAGGGATGGTATTTGCTGGCTCGTATTCCGCTCCTTTTTTGCTCCATGCATGAGTGCGCATGTTTCGTCAGTAAAGCTCAATTTTCGTTTCGTCTGACCAAATTACTTTCTCCCAGAAATCATTAGATTCAATTTCATATTTCTTTACAAAATTCAAACGGGCTTGTACATGTCGGCGTTTCAGTAATGGAGTCTTTCTTGGTGATCTTGAAGTGAGACCTGCATGATTCAGTGGTCTTTTAATTGTATCTTTACTAACTTCAATTCCGGCATTTTTCAAATCACTCTGAATTTCTCGACGAGTTGAAAATGGATTTTTCTTCACACTACGGGAAGTGTATCGCTCATTAGCCTCATTTAAGATACGAGGGGGATCATCTGACAAAGGGCTGGATTCTCCTTTGAATGTTTTAATAGTATCGAATTTTTTCCATTTTCGAACAACAGCACCAACTGTACTCACAAGCAAATTCAAATCTTGAGCGATTTTTCTATATCCCTTACCATCATTGTGATTCTCTATGATCTTCTTGCGCATGTCGTTCGACAATTCTTTTGTTTTCCCCATTTTCTTGCAGTAGTGGCAACAGAATAGCTGCAGTGTCTCAAAGCTGTTATCTAATAGCCAGTTGAGTGTCGCGCAGTGCTGTCATTGGTCGACATATCACATCATATCAACATGGGTAGGAATCATGACGACACGTCTCTTCTAGCATAATATTTGCATTGGTGTTAAATACTTTTGCATATGGGTTATTTTATTTATTGTTAAGAAATGTTTCTCAAAACTGTGGTTTTAAATTTTCCTTCTATGTTTTGATCGACAATATTCGTTTAAATATTTCCTATAAGTTTCTTTGAAATTGATCTGTTATTTTTTGAGATATGTAAGAAAAAACCAATGTATTAAATATTTTGCTACCTATATATATATATATATATATATATATATATATATATATATATATATATATATATTCTTACGCTCTTTGAACCTGCGTCCCTCTGGGTAAATGGAGGTACTGTTAGATTCCGTTACGCGCTCTAACCAACTGAGCTCCAAAGAACCAGCGATATGCCTTTAAGCGAAATTTCTCTCGTCGCAGATCTCCCGAAATTCTTTCATATCTGCACAGTTTCATGTCCAAACGTAAACTTAGCAATTTTTCTAAAGAAAGTATATTTTTTTTATTAATTCGACAGTTCTTTTTATCACTTTATACGTTATTTGTATTGGATACTTTGAGTAGACGCTCCGTTTATTTAGAAAACAGGATATTTATTTATTTTTGTTTTCCGGTCTAAATTTTAGGCAAATGTTATTAAAGAATTTAATTAATTAATTACTCAAAACATAACTTTCTGATATTTGTAAATTCACTAAAAAAAAAAAAAAAAAAAAAAATTATTTGCCTTAAATTTTTTTGTCATTCATTTTTTTTTCTTTTAGAACTAACAAATGCCGGGAGAAACAATACAAAAATGCTTCTAGGCAATATGGAACGTGATAAAAATTATCAGAAAATATTGATAAAACATAAGCGACTTGATTTGCAATTAGGGATCTTTTGACGAGATTTGAATGTGAATTCCTCAAATGTTCTATTTGAAACTACTAGGGACCGTTTCCTTATTTTAGTGTCACTGTTTTTGTCTCTCGCGCTTTCTACACTCGGTTGATGGCGTTGGCGGCAAAATCAGAATGACGGGCATCCGAGACCAAAGGAAGTCGGGCCAACAGGCCATTAAGATGGACGATATCTATGGTCGTTCTCTATCATCGACTTCCGCTTGTAATCTGATTCAACCATCGAGAATTTTGCTTGATGATTGATGATGCCCAATGGAGCTGGTGGAAAATGGCTCGTACTGCTGTTTCTACTGGTACCTATTGACAACGACACCAATAATTCGATTTCCCCCTCATACCTCTCTTTTCTCTCTCTCTCTCTCTCTCTCTCACTTCGTCTTCTTTTGCTTTCAAATTTTTCCCTAACCATTATTCCTCTCTCTTTGCACGATATCCTTTCTCTCATTTAATTATTCTTCTCTCTATTTAATTCTTATTCCCAATTCTCTGTTTCTTTCTGCATCATCATTATCATCATCATCATTATCATCATCATCATCATCAGACTGCGTGTGTTCATATGATTGCTGCATAGCTAAGCTCTTGAACAGATCCATCTACACATCTCGGTTGAAAAACGTCGAGGTATTCATTCATGCCGAGCGTTTCTTTGGGCAAGTAAACCATCTCCATTTCATACCACAGCCGATGTCCACCAATTTAAAGGCTTGCGTTAGTTACAGACGGGTGGAATGTGGTGAATCCTCCGTCCTGGTTGTTGACCAGTCCAAGAAGGCTCTCGCCCAGCACAGCTATCTCATCACCCCGCACTGGCTATACACAACTATGGAGCCGAATCTACCCCAATGAATTAGAATGTTGTTGACCTTCCAAGATGGATCATCCGCTTTTTGACGGGTTTTGTTTTTAATACTTCTGGGAGTTTAGCCACCGTCATCATCTCAGGGATTACGGCCATATCACATTGAAACACCGGTTCTTGTCCGATCAGCGAAGTTAAGTAACGTAGAACCTGGTCGATACCTAGATGGGTGGCTGCTTAGGAATACCGGGTGAACGTGCGGTGGGTGTAATGGATAATGATTCGGAATTGTTAATCGGAGTGTAGACTTCCAACTCCTGGAACTAGACCAAGATGGTACATAAAAATCCTTAGGAATTAATGAAGGCGGCAGATTACAACATTCAATTATAAAGAAAAAGAATAGTATAGGAGTGTGCGTTTGATAATAGAAAGTGAACTAAATGGGGCCAATAAAATGAAGGCTATCAACACTTTATCCATACCCTCAGTAACATACAGTTTCAACATTATTAAGTGGAAGTTGACTGACATTAAAAGATTGGACACTAAAACCAGAAAAATGTTTCACCCGAAATCAGATGTTGATTGGCTGTATGTACCAAGAGCTTTAGGAGGCCAAGGTCTAGTCTAAATTGAACTAACTCTAAAAACTGCAACAATCAGATTGGAAACCTATCTCACAAAAACTAATGACCCTCTCCTACAAATAGGAAAAACACCAAATTCACTCGATCAGCAAAGATACTGCACTCTTCAAGAAACAGCTTAATATACCTGAAATCCTAACAACGAAACTGACAAAAAATGAATATACCCACAGACATAATAATGTAGCGGAACATGGGTACTGGAAGATATGCGAGAAGCACAAAATCGAAACCACTGAGAGATGGTATGAGCACCAACCAGACACAGTTACCCAAACAATGTAACTATCCTCTGGGACGTACCAATTAAAAAAAAATGACAGAGAAATAAAAGCCTACAGGCCAGATATTATCATAAAAGACAAGAGATTCGGGAAGTGTATGCTTATTGACATAGCAGTACCATCTGAGAGAAACATAAAATAAAATTATCGAGAAATTGTCCAAATACAAGGACCTGGAAATCGAGATTAACAGGACCTCTGGGCCTTGTCAGAAAAGGAATGGACAGTTTTACTAAAAGTGTCCCAGATAACACCAACATACAAGTTGCCCAGAAAATCGTCCTACTAGAAAAGTGCTATCATAGTTTGGTCCCGGCTCTAAAGGATACAAAGCAGGAAACATAACATACGTAAATAATAATAATAATAATAATAATAATAATAATAATAATAATAATAAAGAAGAAGAAGAAGAAGATCTTTCAAACAAATGCGGAGAAATTTTACAGAGAAAAACACACACACACACACACACATATATATATATCTTACTTATTATAAAACGCAGATTGTGTGTGTGTGTGTGTGTGTGTGTGTGTGTGTGTGTGTGTGTCTGTAACGTTTATATGTTGGATCGAATTTCCTACATTTTTTAGCCGATTTCAACAAAACTTCACAGGACTACATAAAATTACCTTGTGGTGGTTCTAACGGGGCCGAAAATGGGAAAAACAGTTGTTTGAAAACACGATTAAGACACATCGTGAGAATGAAAGGGGGGACAACTCACCCACGAAAATGTAAACAAAAGAGCATAGCATGATGAAAAAGACGCCGAACTTGACGAAAACAAAATTTTATCGTCTAATGTTCATATTATTATTAAAGAGGAAAGATCAAAGTATTTTGGGGTATTTTTTACATTTTTAATCGTTCCTAGCACGTCTGAAATTTTCGTTAAAAATATTGTTTTTTTTGGTCAAAAAAAAAGGACATAATCATTTTCAATCATTTTTTCGATTTGATAAAAAAGATTAAAATCTGACTTTGATATTCTTTTAAAAATCAATTATCATTTTTCAAAAAAACTGATTTTAATAAAAAAAGAAATTATACTGTTTATTTAAAATATTTTGAACCAAGCTTAACTTAGCTTCTGCGCCGAAAAAATGTAATTTGAAAATAAAACAAAGTAGGTCATAACCTTTCGCGTCGCTTGACGATTGACGAAAGGCACATTCATGACGTTTAGATAATTTACGGGAGGAGAATTCTTTCTACGGATGGAAGGAAGTGAAATTATTTAAGTGAACAAATTATTTACTTTGTTACTTTTAAGGAAAACTTTCAGCGCTCTAATTTTTTTTTTTTTTGTACTTAGCTTTCATTTTTACGTTTACGATGCTTTATGGAAAATATAAAGAAATTAAAATATAAGACTGTTAATAGTGAGATTAAATTTCATAAGAAAAAAGTATCTAATTAATTTAGGTACCTTTCTTATGAAATTTTATCAGAAGTATTACATAAAATACTATAATTTTATGTACATTTATTACATTTTACTGTGTTATTTGTATTTCCATTTATTTTATTATTAATTTTGATATTTCATTTATGGAAAAATGTCATAACTGAGATTAATATAAAATAAGATCATATAAATTAAAGTTTAGCAGTAGTTAAATTTCATAAGATGATACTGTTACTTGTAGGTACCCTTCTCAGTTGAAATTGAAAACTCAAATTAACTTCTCCATATGTGTTTCGGTAAAAAGTAAAAAGGGCTTAACAGCGGAGAACAATGCTGAACTCAAATAATGCAACTAAATTGTATTCTGGTTGGTCTTCCGTACTTGATAATTACTGTCCGACTATAAACACAAAAATTACATTTCTTAATTACCATGGCTAATCTCATTGGTCCAAATTATACAATTTTCAAAGCGCTAGACAATGACAATCTCACACGGACATTTTGAAAGGTTGATGTTGCTTTTAACTAATGTTAAACTATTTTTTAAAATTCAATTTAAACATTTTTTTAAAATCTTTTTAAAATTAAAGAAATAAGAAATAATTGTATTAAAAATTCAATTTTCATTGAAAAAATTTTTTGCTTTCAGAAAATATTGTCCATATTCATAAAAACAAATTAAAACAAATAAAAGCATTTGAAACTAAATAATATATTTGTTTTATTGAGTTTTGTATGATACAATTCACAGCTGATTTTCAGGTACGTTGGCCAAAAAAAAAAAAAAAAAAAAAAAAAAAACATGATTTGCATTCTTCAAAGCCTTGTGCTTTTAACTATTGTAATCACTAAAACCGATGGTCTCGAATTTCTAGAGTTTTTCATAAAATTAGTTATGGGGTGTGAATAAATATAAAAAAAATATTTCTGCCATGACTTTAATAAAAAAAAACATTTATAATAATTTCGATCATCTGTGAATAGTTTCTGAAAGTTTCATTAACATCTGACAATTATTTTTATTTTTGCAAGATTTTCCAAATTAATGTGTAAATACAAAAAACGCGCTAGAAATTATCTATGTTATTTACTACCCCTTGTTGCGACAAAGAGAAACAAGGTTTTTAAATCAAAATTTAGAATATTCTAAAAAAAGATGGAAAATTTAAAAAAATAATTAAAAAAAAATTTAGTCTATCCTCTTCATAAAAACATAAGCATTTTGACGATAAAATTTTGTTTTCATAAACTTTGGCGTCTTTTTCATCAGACTATGCTCTATGTTTTAGCGATTCCGTGGAGTGACTTAGGTTAAAAACCCCAGGTTGTTTTGTGTGTTTTGTGTGTGTGTGTGTGTGTGTGTGTGTGTGTGTGTGTTCCTTTATATATGGGATCAGTTTCTTACATTTTCAGCCGATAAAACAAACATCCACTTTTTTTTTTTCGGCAGGTAGTATTTCTTATTGCCTTGCACACTTTTTCTTTATTTACATTCAGAATGCTTTAAAAATTCCATTTACAAGACAATTGTTTATAATAAAATTCTATTCACCAATCGATAGACTCATAACGATTGTAAACAATGTTTTTGTTTGAATTTGGGTTTGACTAATTCGTAAAAAAAAAAAACAAAAAAAAAGAAAACTAATTAAGACATGCGTGTCCGTCAACCTTAAACAATAATCTTTGTCAATTTTATTTTTTTCTGTCTTTATGATGGTCAATACTTGATCTATCTCTTACTGTTACATCCTGGCAACGCCAGGCTCTACTATATATATATATATATATATATATATATATATATATATATATATATATATATATGTGTGTGTGTGTGTGTGTGTGTGTGTGTGTGTGTGTACATGGCTATTGAATCATTAATTATCCCGGCTGTAGGAATGTTTCTTAGGTCTCTTTAACAAATATTAATCGAAAAAAGAATAGAAAAAAGACAGTGGACAGTTCTATAAAATACGGCAAGAATACGAAGAAACATTGACAGAGAAGGACCGTTTTTTTGCTGGCATCGTTACATACCAGAAAATCAATATAATAGTATTAACAATAGATAAAGATTTTGCTTTCGTGATTAAGCCGTGTGGAATATACTTGTAATAGCTTAGTCTTTAGTCATTCGTGCATTGAGGATAACCCTCGTACAAAGGCAAGGAAAACAGATAATCAAAAATAGTAAAAAAATACAACATTGGAATACACATAAAACCACTAAAATATTATTAAAGAGATTGTGATTTTAGGCTTCCGTATATTAGGTTCACCGAAATACGAAAAAGACAAAAAGATTGTTGGAGAAATGCTTTATATTTAGAATGATATCGAAGAGTTTAGCAGAAGTATGCGTAATTCTGTTGGCTAGCGACAAGAAAAAAAACCTTCCAATCGAATAAAATCGTTATTAAAACAATTAAAAGTAAACAAAACAATGATGTTCAAGATTCTAAAAGAAAAAAGCAATGAGAAAATTGCATAACGACTGAAGTTGAAAAATGGCAATCATCATGCAGTATTGAGACAACAATCTCTACATTGACTATATCTATAAACGACATAGGCTAATGGCCACATCACGTTGAAACTATCGGTCAAGACTAGTCAGTAAGTAGATGGGTGACCGCTTGGGAATACCAGATGTTGTAACCTTGGATGTGCGATTTGTGTAATGGATAATGGCTCGGAATTTTTAATCGGAATGTCGAGTTCGAATTCCCTTTGGGTTCGTTATATTGGAAGAGGCATGAATCCACCTCTTCTCCTCGAGCTATGGATTAATTAGTAAGACTCGTATCACTAAAGCTATTATTATCTCCCCAAAACTTCTTACACTCTAAAGATATTCCCTGATTTTAAAAAACTTCCAAAGGTTTGATCACCCAAAGAT